AGGCAGCTGAAAAATGTACATTTAATTAAATGTGCCTGTCATTTCCATTGCCAAAATTATTCTATACCCTTTGTTACTGGATACACTATAATTGACAGGAAGCTGCATGACTAGTAGCTGTAATTTATAAAATATTTTGGGATAGTTCAGTATGAAAAGCTCTATACAAATACAAGATATTAATGGCAATCTTGACAATTCCAGGCAGCTCAAATGTATGGAAAAAATCTCATTAGAGTAAAAAATAAAATTCAAACCAAACCCTACTTAAATCAACTAACTGATCTTTAATCTAGATAAATTTTTTGTGGGCAAAATAGATTCAAATGGGGGAATTTAACTTAATTTATAGCCAATTAATATAAATACATAATTACTGTCCTGGGCATTGAGAAAAAAAAGGCAGATATTAAATGCTTGGGGAAAACACCTTCAGAGGTGCCGCCAGCCTCCTCAGCTGTGCCCCGTGGTGGGTCCACTGGAACCACTGGAACCAGCTGTGTCTTCCATGGGGCAACCCCAGCCTCTCCTCACAGAGGTCGCCCTGCAGCCACCCCCACCCAGGAACCCCATACATCAATTTTGTCTGTTTTCCTGATTTTTATTTGCTGAGTTGGAGCTAGTCCAGAAGAGGCCATGAAGATGCTCCAAGCACTAGAGCACCTCTGCTCTGGAGACAGGCTGAGAGAGCTGGGCTTGTTTAGCCTGGAGAAGAGAAGGCTCTGGGGAGACCTTAGAGCAGCTTCCAGTGCCTAAAAGGGCTACAAGAAAGCTGGAGAGGAGCTTTTTACAAGGACATGTAGTGACAGCACAACAGGGAATGGCTCTGAACTGACAGAGGGCAGATTTATATTAGATATAAGGAAGAAGTTCTTTCCTGTGAGAAGAACTGGCACAGGCAGGTGAGGCCCTGGCACAGGTTGCCCAGAGAAGCTGTGGCTGCCCCATTCCTGGCAGTGTTCAAGGCCAGGTTGGACAGGGCTTTGAGCAACCTGGTCTAGCAGAAGATGCCCCTGCCCATAGCTGATGTTCTTTAAGGTCCCTTCCAACCCAAGCCATTCTATGATTCTATGAGTTTATTTTTTTACATCAGAACTAGTTGTTTTTCCCTAGCATTGTTGGTTTCCCAGCTTAAATACCAATCTGCCAGGTTTGCACACCTCAGTCCTCTGAAGATGCCCTCCAAAGAGCTTGTTTTCATGTATAGTACTCTGTATTACATAAAAATCAAGTAGCATATTAAATAGGATTAAAGTTTCACCTAAAACATAGGAACTGGTGGTGTTTTTTTCTGATGGTTTATTTAAGTCTATAAACTATTTGTTTTGAGAGATGTCAAAATTAAAGTCTTACCCCAGTTTCGGTCTCAAGTTGTTTTGCAGTTCTGGCAGTGCAGCTGTAAAATCCATGGACCCCAAGAAAGTCCCCAGTTCTTGTATTTTCCATTACCTACAGGAAGTCTCAAATTTGCTTCTTAGGACATTTATTTTTATTTGATAAATCAGAAGGGTTCCTGGTGTTGCCTGTACTAGTAACATGAGAAGTATCTATGCAAATTATTGTCTCAGCCGTTTCTTTCAACACAAGCTGTGTCTTTGGGTTCCTTTGTAGAGATTAATATAATATACCATATTTTAAGGATCCTTATTTGAACGTTGAGGAATTAGTGTAATTTTTTGCTTGATATTCAACCTATTACAAACTTCTCATATTGAAGCAGGGTTCTTCTTTCTGAAGGACGCATACCCCTGTGGCAGGGGGGTTGGAACTAGATCATCTTAAGGTCCTTTCCAACCCAAACCATCCTATGATTCTCTAGTACTGTTTAGCAAGCATCTCATGTTGTCATCTGTGCCTTGCAGGGAGTGTAAGCCAAGCTTAATGTATTGCCTTACATTGCAGAGGATTTTATCATAGCAGGTTCCGAGCCAAACATTGTGCATATGCTAATTTTGCACCTAACTTTTTCCTTCCTAACAATACGATTGAGCCCACTTTGGACATGCTCATCGGTCTCAAATTATGAGTAATGTTGGTTAAGAAAGAGAAAATTATTGAACTCTTTCTGTGAAGTACAACAGGAAATTGTTTCTTGCAGAATTATCTAAGTGACAATTGTATCAGCTTCAGCAGAGTGTGACTAATTTTTTTATCATTGTAGTAGCAACTACATGGTAATTTTAATTCATAAATGGGGGTTAAATAGAGACAGATCATGTTTTACCTAAAACATGTCAAATCACTAGGAGTTTACTAAGTGATGAAAACAATACTGAGAGGGAGGGTTTTTAGCTTTTCCTTTGGAATTGGCTGCTATTTGTACTGGTGTCACAGCCATGCAAAGGAAGCAGGTCGGATTTCCAGCCGGATGTAGCCAAGTCTGCTCCCACATAAAACCAGACTTACCTCACAAATGCCTTGGAGGTTAAAGTATGTTTTAAAGGGTATGCTAATCTAAATAAAATAAATTTGGTATTTGTAAGTGTATTTTCCCTCCCCTTTTCCATTTTTCTTCCTTTCTTTCCCCCAATTTCATTCCTCCTTGATTTCATTGTAAAAATTGCGCTTAGCTTTCACCACTTATTCCACTGCATTTCTTGCCTTCATCTGTGTCTTACCTCCTTGAACTGATGGCAGTAATTGAGGGTGGTAGTCCTTCCTTCTTCTGTCCATACAAGTCAGTTAAAGGGCCAGATAAGGCTAAAATTTCACCTGAAGAACCTCACCACCTCTTGTGCTGGAGGCACAAGAATTATGGGAATTCCTTCTCCCTGCCTATGGGAGGTGTGGGAATAACCCCATCTATCCCCACACAAACCTGACTGTACCCCTCTTTTCCCTCCAGCACCCGAAGAGGAATCCTGCTTTCAGAGAATGAGATGTTGTGGCTCACTTTCAACCCATCCTGTCACTGTGGAGAATAGCAGCAGCTATACAGGTAGTATTACTGGCCCTGCTTTGGGAAAAGAACATTCCAGAAGCAGAGTTGGTGCAATGCAGCAGTGTGCAGAACTCTCTGAAATCAGGCACAGGACTTGTGTTGCCCTTATGGTGGACCTTGGTAGCATGAGCATATCACAATTTTGGTACTGTTTCCATGTAAAACTATTCTGCTGCGATGGATGTATTACTGATTGGCATAACATATAAACAGTAAGAGATGAAATATGTCACAAAGATATTTGCACGATTGCTTTTGTTAACATATAATGCTGATTTTTTTCATGCAATAGATATAACCAGCAAAATTAAATCAAAACATCAGAGAAAGGTCCATGATTTACTCCAATTACTTCACAGCAATTCCATTTGACAGTTACTATACAGGTGTCAAAAACCACCACCATGCCATTAAATGTCGCAATAACCTTTTAGGCAAGGCATGAGTGACATTTTGGAGAGCAGTGTGAGGAGGCCGAGAAGCAGCTACTTGTTTGTATTGTTATCTGCTATTAATAATATACCACTTTTGAAAGAGGAGTATTCATTGCCATAGCAATACATTTATGACAATTTCAAAGACACTCCACGAGCAAAGAAGGTCACTGAGGCCTGGCCAACCGCCACCTATGTGCCTTTAAAAATATACTTTTCTAAGCAAAATTAGTATAATATAGTACATAGCAGCCATAGGGGTGGCTTTTCAGTTCTGAAGTATCTTATTAGTGGGGCTTTATTTTGGTTTTATGACAGCTGCTCATAATGAGGCACGAAAAGAGAAGGAGGAAAATTGTGTCAAAGGTAGATGGTAGAAAGCTAAACAGAAGTGAAGTTTGAGGAGACAGGAAACTGGAGAGAAGGTTGCTTGCTTCAAAGAAGGATAAGCCCAGACATAAAAGCAGCTGGGGAAAAAAAAAAAAAAAAAAAAAAGAGCATGCCTAAAACGATATCTTCAAATACAATTCATGATTAGCTGGTGATGGGAAGGCAAGGCATTTCCTGTCCCAATCAGTCCATAATGCACCCTGCTTGTCCCTATGGTAACAGCAGGCACCTGCGATTCTTCTTCAGACATTTACAGCTAGGAATCAGTTGAGCAGTGTTATCGTGGAAGCATAAGATGCTGTGGACGTGGTTTAGAACGTTATATTTTTGTCCATCATGACAAACATCCCCCCCAGCAATTCCTTTATAGAAATTCTGCTAAAGTAGTAGTTGCTCCAAATGTTTGTCAAGTTTTTATATCCCAGAAGAACAGATGCAGCTAAAAGAATATACACTTTAAAATAACTACGCTGAACAAGCTGGCATAGGCAGCTCCCAATTTAATTAAGTATATGCAGCACCACTTAGTGGTGAAAGCGGAGTCAGCGCAGACAAGAATAACAAGTTTTCACGCTGGCCCCTCTGAAGCCCCTAAACACGAACTAGGTCTGGTTTGTCTGTCCTCACTTGCCAAATACCATTACAATGCCTTTACTATAAGAAAAGTACATCTACCAAGCAGAAATGCAAGAGCTGAAGCTCAAGGCCAGCATAACCAAAGGCTGTTGAGCATCACACATGGCTTCTGGTGACAGAGCCTGAAGCCGAGTTTAAACAAGTGATTCAGCTTAGGATCTGCGTGTTTTAAATAGACATGGACCAAAACCAAGGGCAACAGATGTAGAAAAACTGAAGACTGACACCAACTGAAAAATAACTATTATTTTTCCATTCCATCAACCAGTTATAAAACTATCCAACTTGTGCACCTAACACAGTAACTAACAAAAAGAAAGCATTTTATTCAGAACAGATTGGTATGTTTTTACAAAAACGTCATGATTCAACTTACAAACTTAGCACTACCGTTAGCAATGTACCTTTCCTGAAGGTGAAATCGTTGCCTTTTATCAAATGTCAACTGCAAGAGCGTGTAAATAAAAAAACCCAACAAATAACCCACGCCAAAACCCACTGACACCCATACCCCAAAGGCTCTATTTAGAATATATATAAAATATATATATACACACACAAACATACAACATGTCTTCATAGATGACAACCGTATCAATTTATACTTCAGGTCCTTCTCCTCCAGGAACCAGCTATAAAAGAATAAGACAATTTTATGTTATTACCATAGGTTTGAGCTCTACAAACCCACATGTTCTTGCTTTACAACATTTTGGCAGATGAAGGCTTTATAGTAGACTACAAAAGTAATTTTTAGATCTAGTATTATCTTCCTCTTCCCCAAAAGAAGTAGTCAGTTGCTGACAGAGAAGCACATACCAAAAAGAATCTCCAAAATAGGAAGAATGTTTAACAAACACAAAGGAGATCCTAGAGAACAGACATTTTGGATTTTGTCTTTGTTATTCAATTCAAGGAGATGATTCAATTTAGAAACATTACAGCTTGTTTTAAAAAGACAAAGAATATGCTTCCTTTCGTGAAGACTTTCTCCAATTGCTGACTCTTCCCCAGACTGTTGCTATACTGGTAATTTGTTTTCCTCTTTCCAACTTCTATTGCTAAGCAGAGCCCGGAAACTAAGAAAGAGCCTGAACCCTTTTACAGACAGCAGGGAGTAGCATTTTCCTGTAAAGAAAGCAAGGAACTGAACAACTGGAAAGGAAAAACATGAATGGGGGGGGGCAGGGGAAGAAAAACAAAAGAGGATAACCATTCCTTTTACTATTTATATATTCCTTTTTAACAATTTTAACCATTCCTTTTCCTTTTTAATATATTCTTACTAATTAGCTGAGCATTTCTAAAGACAAAGACCTTCACTGCTTTGGGGACTGAAGTAAGAAAAAGTCTAAATTCTTCCTGATGGGGGAAGATACGTCTCTGGAAGAGACACAAGATCTAATACAGAAACTCATCTGTGTCTTCCTGAAAATTTGCACTGTAAGTCACCAGCTTCTGCTTCAAGGACAGTGCACCACCAGCTTAACTGGATGGTGATAATTTCACCCATACAAGACGTCGGAACATGCACAGTCCTTTCAAGGATGCAGAACAATAACCAAATTAAAAAAAGGCTTTGAAATTAAGTCAAGATGGCAGTTGCAAAGACACACAGTAGGGAGATGCAAGGAAGGTTAAGACAGCAAAATGGAGATTCTTCTTCATTTACAGAGCTGACAAACTCAAACCAGATTTCCTCTTCTCTTCCCACAAAATTAGTAATGCCTTTATGTAGGAAGTCCAGACTTTGTAGGCATCTACACAGACAAGTAAAAAACTACTGTGGATCTGCTTTTGTGGTACTTAATAATTGAGTATTGTAATTCTGCAATTGCTGAATTCTGCAATTTCCTGTTTCAGTACTGCTATACATACATAAGCACATAATATACTAAAAATCACAGTGCTTTCAGTTTGGTATAAGCCAACAGACCTCCAGATTTTTTTTTTCACAGCATGTAAAAGATGCATGCTCTGTGGGCATCACGTGCCAAATGACTTGATGAGCTTGTAAGCATCCAAACTTCTGCAAACAAATTTATACATGAGCTAACGCATGAGATGTAGATGTATCTCACCCTACATACTCATGCAAACACTCACGAGTTGAAAGCTGCTGTACGAACCAGTCTACAACAGTGGACAACAATGTCAACAATTCCCTTGCACACCTGAAGACCAGAAACTTATTCACCAAAATAAAACCAGGGCCATGCTCTCTTCATCTTCATGCTTACTGTACCAAGAAAGGCACTGAGATCACTTTTACAGCATTGTTCATACACACGTATGCCCTGGAAGCTACTTGAAAATAGCTTTTGTCTTGGAACTATCTGGAAAACTCAACTGCTTATCGATTTAAAGGTACAGAAAATAAATGCATGCAGCCTTTTAGAAATGATGACTTACCATTGTTATATTATTTCCATTTAGCAAAATCTGGTCTAGCTTCGTGATTCTTCTGCCTTCAGGTGTAATCTCACTGAAGCAGCATTAGAAGTGAGTAAGAACACGTAACCAGGGACAACAATTACAGTTTTGATTACAGAACAGATATAAATCTCCGCATTAAGATGGCATTTGTTGGAACTAACAAACAAATTGGTTACACTGCAGCACAACCTTGATAAATTGACCACCTGGATACAGACAGCTACCTGGCAAATAAAAAGATCCATGGTACTTTTCTGCTCAGTACACAAAGATACCAATTTTACCTTCTAAATCTCAGCAATTTCTTGAATACCAATACTCCAAATAGGTTTCAAATAACAACATGGCTTGAAAAAGAAATAAATACTCATCCTTAAATCTGTCAGCTTTTCAAATCTTTGACCAAACCATAAGGAAATGTGAAAGCAAGCAAGCAAACAAACTACTGGAAAGCTCAGCACACAGCCCATGCAAAATTAAGGCTACAAATTAGGAACCTGAATACAAGTATAAATCGTGCAACAGCTACTCTATGACATGGCTGCCAGGAATAGATCACCCTTTACTGTTTAAGTGCAAGGTATAAACTATTCAGCTGGCAAGTTTCCAAACATGTAAGAACACTCTGCTTACAGATATTGTACAATACTTTTCCTCTGGAAACCAAACACTAAATAGCAACTAGGGGCAGAAATAGTACTTACAATTCTGTGACATCTTCTAACACCATGTCTGAAAATCCAGTTTCAAGGAAAATAAGGCCCAGAATTTTAAAATCAAAGCATTTAAAATTATTTTCATTTTACACTGAACTGTGATTTTATCCGTAAAATAAGAATATCAGAATAACACAACCCAGACAAGAAGATTCTATCCAGTGGACTCAAACCTCTCAAAAGTAATAGATGACTTGAGCTGAAGCATAAAGTGGACGGCCTTAAGCACTTGCACCAAAGGATACTGACAAAGTCATCAAATCCTAGAAGCGTTCCAACAATTTCTTTATCACTCTTCATCACGATATGGATGCGTGAACCTATGCATTTGTCCACAAGCTCTGTCAATAAAAACAAACAAAAGATTTGAAATGCACAAGAGATTATTTTATAGAATGCAAATTTTTCAGGACGACCGCCCTGACACCACGATGGCAAATAAGTAATTGCCACATACACTGGTGGAAAAAAAAACACAACAAAAGAACAAAAAACCCAAAACCAAAACACAAAAAAGTTAGGGAAAAAATTAAATCATAGAATCTGCTAGACTGGAAAAAGACCTTTAATATCATCAAGTCCAACCGTTATCCCAGCACTGCCGAGTCCACCACTAAACCACGCCACTGAAGGCTTCATCTACACGGTTTGTGAACACTTCCAGGGACGGTGATTCTACCACTGCCCTGAGCAGCCTGTTCCAATGCCTAAGCCCCCTCTCCGTGAAGAGATTTTTTCCCCCTATCCAGTCTAAACCTCCCCCGGCGCGGCTTGAGGCTTTTACCTCTTGTCCTAAAAAGACACTAAAAATATATATTTGAAAAGTCTCTTTGCACACTCTGCTGCTAGCAGAAAAACTACTTTCTGAGGCAGCACGCCGAACACTCCAGGAACGCGGTCCCCCTAACCAGAGCACCCTGCTGCCGCCAGTGCGCGGTTCGTTACAGCGGGACGGCCGAGCACCAGCGCTCGCCCCCAGCCACGGCCCAGGAGACCCCCAAGCAACCCCAAACCCCGCCGCCCGGGGCTGGGCAAAGAAACACCCG